CCCAAGACACTAAACCCAATCCCCTCCCCCCGTATGGCAAGAATACATGCCATGCCCAATGTAACACAAGTTTATTTATTGTAATTAAACATAGATGGCTCTGCAAGTGCTTAGTCACCAAGGAGTCGGTTATTAGTCCTACATAGCTCACCTGTTTACCCTTTTTTCGACTTTCATTGTCTTAAATGTTATTTAGATTTTAATAACATTTTAATAATCATAACACCAATAACAATAATAACAGTATCGATGTCGACTGTATTAAAAGGAAAAACACATTTTCCCGCCAATTCAAGGAATGGGGAAATCAAGATCGGTCACTAGGGCTACTGATAGACTCCTTGCCGGCTGAGCACATGTGGAGCCATCTGTATGTAACAACATTCACCAAAAAAAAAAAGAAGAAGAAAAAAGAAACCCACAGGGGACAGAACATGAATCCGGGGCGAATGAGTTAAATGAAGCAAGTGAAACGACTCACAAACGAACGACTCACCTGTGCTCTCGTGAGGTTCGGCTCCTTGAACCGAAATCTCCCAACCGGTGCCTGTCTGGTTCCCGGCGCCTGTCACGTACCTCACTGCCATTTTGTTGCTCGGTGCCAAGTGATTGGCGACGTTCGATTCCTGGCGTGAGAATGGTGAGGACTATTAGTAAGAGGTTGAAGATAGACACACGTGTAAATAATTGCGGGTGGGTATATGTACACGCGCGCACATACACATTTTCATATTCACACACTATCACGTGTACACACACACACACACACACACACACACACACACACACACACACACACACACACACACACACACACACACACACACACACACACACACACCAAAAAACGGACTGTATTATACTTACATCTCCACATAAGGTATTGAAGAGCACAGAACTTCCGTCATTTCTTACATCATACAGTTCAAGGTATGTGCTGTTACACTGATCGGGGCCGCCGAAGTTGACTGGGAATGAATAACAGATTTTGTTAGTTTTATCTCCATCTATCTATCTATCTATCCATGCATGCATCCTTTTATTCACCTATCCACTCACCCATCTATATATATCATCTGTCTATCTGTCTATCTTTCTGTCTATCTGTCTATCTATCTATCTATCTATTCACCCACCCAAAAAAACCACCCACCCACAAATCTACCCACTCACCCACAATCTATCTACCCCCCCCCCCCCCAGCCCCCATAAACATTATCATCTATTTTGTTCATTTTTTTTTTCGCTGAAACACAACATCACTCTTACCTCTAACGCCTATAACCACGTGGAGACTCTGTGGCACCATGACAGTAAACATGCAATCCAGATTTTCCGCAGAAGGAGACGGGTAGTTAGGGCTCGTTATCTTGGTTCTGTGCGACACGAACATTGAACCTCCGCATCCGCTCGCTGGAAGAGAGAACACAAGTGGGGTGATTGGATCTTAGTTGAACAGAGAGAGCGGGGAGGGAAAGGGAGAGGGAGTGGGAGGGAGGGACTGGGAGGGAAAGGGAGAGGGAGGAAGCGACTAGGAGGGAGAGGGGCAGGGGGAGGGAGGGAGTGGGTCAGGGGGGAGGGAGGGAGAGGGGTAAGAGGGAGGGAGGGAGTGGGAGGGAAGGAGAGAGAGAGGGAGGGAAGGAGATAGAGATGGAGGGAAGGAAAGAGAGAGGGAGGGAGGGAAGGAGAGAGAGAGCAGGAGGGAAGGAGAGAGGGAGAGAGAGGAAAGGAGAGAGAGAGCGGGAGAGAAGGAGAGAGAAAGAGGAAGGGAAGGAGAGAAAGAGCGGGAGGGAAGGAGAAAGAGAGAGGGAGGGAAGGAGAGAGAGAGAGGGAGGGAAGAAAAGAAAGAGGGAGGGAAGGAGAGAGAGAGGGAGGGAAGGAGAGAGAGAGGGAGGGAAGGAGAGAGAAAGGGAGGGAAGGAGAGAGAGAGAAGGAGGGAAGGAGAGAGAGAGAGAGAGAGAGGGAAGGAGAGAGAGAGGGAGAGAGAGAGAGAAGGAAGGAGAGAGAGAGAGAGAGAGAGAGAGAGAGAGAGAGAGGGAGAAAGAGATAGAGAGATAGAGAGATAGAGAGAGAGGAAGAGAGAGAGAGAGAGAGAGAGAGAGAGAGAGAGAGAGAGAGAGAGAGAGAGAGAGAGAGAGAGAGAGAGAGAGAGAGAGAGAGAGAAAGAAAGAAGGAGAAAGAGACACAGAGAGAGAGAGAGCATAATGGTAACAATAACAATAACATTGTCTATGGTTACAATATTGGTATTGATAATAGCAATGATGACGATGATGCTCATCATAAGATAATGATAATAATAATGAAAAATAACAACAATAACAACAACAAAAAAGACTTTATCAATCAACAGTGATTATCTTAATAATCCTACTGTTACAATCCCTAATAACAACAAAAAACGATAACATAAATAACAACCGCAACTAACAACTATAATATCAATGACAAAATCACATTCCCCCCCGAAAAAAAAAAAAAAAAAAAATCAAACTTACACTGGTTCGACGTTACGTAAGTCAGTTCCAGGTAAGACCGTGCTGGGACCTCCATATAAAGGGTATTTCCCGTTGAGAACACCGGACTAGCTACCCGGTATCCACAGTAGGAAAGTAAGAGTGTGTCGGAGTTTGAGGCGCCGTCGTATATCTGGTGGACGTATTATAAAGGGGATGATAATGATGATGATATTGGTGATTAATGATGATTAATATTAAGAATAATGATGATATTGGTGATTAATGATGATTAATATTGAGAATAATGATGATATTGGTGATTAATGAGGATTAATATTGATGATATTGATGATAATAATGATATTGGTGATTAATGATGATTAATATTGATGATATTGATGATAATGATGATATTGGTGATTAATGATGATTAATATTAAGAATAATGATGATATTGGTGATTAATGAGGATTAATAATGATGATATTGATGATAATAATGATATTGGTGATTAATGATGATTAATATTGATGATATTGATGATAATGATGATATTGGTGATTAATGATGATAATGATATTTAACGATGATCATGATGATGATGGTGTATGATTAATACTAATAATCAATACTACTACTACTACTACTACTACTATTACTACTACTAGTAATAACAATAATAACGATACTAATGATAATGATAATAATAATAATAATAATAACAACAACAATAATAATGATAATAATAATAATGACAGCATAATAATAATAATAACATAATAATAACAACAACAACAATGATAATAATAATAACAACAACAACAACAATAATAATAATAAATACCTGAATGTACGATGCGAAAACATAAACACAAAAAACAAAGTTGATTTTATACATCCAAATGGAAAATCTGCCATGAAGGTCAGATACGGAAACATGATTAAAAAAAAAGATAAATAATCGAGAACCAAAACGGGGAATAACAAAAAAAAAAGTAAATCAATATATAAATGAAACAAAATACTGACCTTAAGCTCTCCATTTTGACAATTTTCGCTAAACGGTACGTAGGACGAACGGAAATAAAGACTGACAAAAGAGCCGACAGGAGCCTGGAAAGTGGTGAAGCAAGACTTTCCCTGGTTTATTTTTACGTAGCCGCTAGAGGCGCTGTATGTCCTGTTGCAAGCTGGAAAAGCGAGAGAGAGAAAGAGAGGAATAAGAGAAAGTAGAAATTATTACTATTATTATTATTATTATTCAGTAATTTTGTAATTCTTTATCTATTTATTTATGTATTTTTGTGTGAGTGTGCGTATGTGTGTGTGTATGTGTGTGTGTGTGTGTGTGTGTGTGTGTGTGTGTGTGTGTGTGTGTGTGTGTGTGTGTGTGTGTGTGTGTGTGTGTGTGTGTGTGTGTGTGAGTGAGTGAGTGAGGGAGTGTAAGTGTGAGTGTGAGTGTGAGTGTGAGTGTGTGTGTTTGTGTGATTCTTTATTGGGATTTTAGGCATTCAAACTATCTATCTTATCTTTTGTCGATAAACAACTCATCTCTATTTTATGATTTAATTTTGAGAACGATAAAATGATAAAGATGTTAAAGGCTTTTCAGATTTTGAATATTTCTTGCAGCTACTGTCATAAAAACAATATACATGGAATAACTTCGATATGTATATTTTACACAATAAATAGAATAGCAAACGGATTTTTTTTTTATCTTATCATAGAAAATACTGTAGAGAGAGAGAGAGAGAGAGAGAGAGAGAGAGAGAGAGAGAGAGAGAGAGAGAGAGAGAGAGAGAGAGAGAGAGAGAGAGAGAGAGAGAGAAAGAGAGAGAGAAAGAGAGAGAGAAAGAGAGAGAAAGTGAAAGTGAAAGTGAAAGAGAAAGAGAAAGAGAAAAGGAAAAAAAGAAAAAGAAAAAGAAAGAGACAAAGAAGAAAAAGAGAAGAAAAGAGACGAGAAAAAGAGAAAGAGAGAAAAAAAAAACAAATAGCAAGAACGAAAGCAAGCGAGTGAGTGAGCGCGCGAGCTATCAACCCATCTATCTATCTATCCCCGAATACTGACTTGAGATGGAGTACTGCATCCTGAATCCCGGTGCTGTCACGGTCTCATCACTTTGGAATCGCATCTGCAGGGAGTTCGTGTAGGAGTCGAAAGAATGTGGGAGTGCTGATCCGCAGTACGTGTGGTCTGCTCCGTACGGCCGCTGGGAGGGAGAGGTGGAGATTGGGGTCAGTTTGGAGGTGAAGTGAGCGAGTTTGGAGGTGAGTCTGGGGTGAGTTTGGAGGCGAGTTTGGGGGTGAGTTTGGAGGTGAGTTTGGAGGTGAGTTTGGGGGTGAGTCTGGGATGAGTTTGGAGGTGAGTCTGGGGTGAGTTTGGAGTGAGTTTGGGGTGAAGTGGTAAGTCTGGGGTGAGTTTGGAGTGAGTTTAGGGTGAAGCTGTGCATCTGAGGTATGTCTGGGAGGGTTTGGGGTGAAGTGGTGAGTCTGGAGTGAGATTGGGATATAGGGGTGAATCTGGAATAAGTTTGGGGT